GTTCATTCGATTGGCCTCCAGAATATAACAACACGCAATAACATACGTATTGAGGCGTTTCTTGTAACGTCCGTTCACATGTGTCAGTTATTAATGACTTCCATAAGAAGTTAAACTCAGGAGCAGGAATTTGTATATATGCTGTTTAATGTTCAACGAAACGCGTCGGAAAAAATAAACTTTAAAAATTTTTACAAATTATAAAACAATTATGGTATTTAACATGATACGAATGAAACTTCTCAGCATGACAACCCAATACAAGGTTATTAGATAATAATTTTCATGACTAATGAATGACATCTCTTTGTAACAACTAACTCACCAGGAGTGTGTGTTTGGCTAAGCGGCGCAGTTGCAACTGTGCGGGAGTGTTTTGATGATACACAATAAGTAAAAATGATAAAAGTGAAAGAATAAAAGTGCCCCAATGGGTTTACACAGATCTCTTTAAGATTAGCGTATATACACTTGAGACTGATTCGGCTGCAAAAATAGAAAAAAAAATCCCACAAAACTATTGCTTAAAGCACACACGAATTCTCATCATCTATTAAGGCAACGATATTTGACAAAATGTTCACAAGGATAGAGTTATTTGAAGATAATACTTTGTCAGTTAATAGTCTAAAGAGTTGTTCTCTTTCACAGCAGGTGATTTTCTTAGACAAGCAATTCTTCACGTTGCATAAAGTTTGTGTTGAAAGCTAATGATTATACACCAACGAAAGAATAACGCGCACACATTCACTATCAATTATCCAGTAGTTTTTTCAATTTTCATTTCTCAACACCAATCTTAGCTCGAACAAAGGTCCGACTCTATCGGATTATTCAAACAATAACAGAAAAAATTATCATTGGTCAGCCATTGCCTTTGATCCTCAGCGTTACTTTCCTTTGTCTTTTTTTCTTGTTGAAAAATACATAATTTTCACATTGAGTCCTCAAGTTTAATGGAACAAATGATCGACGTCAGTTTGTCATAAGAACGGTAGTACCTTAAGAAAGTAAATAATTTTTGGAATTCGATAGACTATCAAGGGTTATTAATATCGATTAATGCAATTTCTAGTACTACGCAGCATACACGATTTAAAGAATAGCCGACAGGTTGGTGTTTGACCGCAGTCTGATACCATCGAGAGCCACTGTCACCCGAGAACCGATCCTTTCTCAACCATTCTTCAGAGTTAACATCAGACAGGGAAGGAGAGGTTGCCCAGCTATGGTCACGGCTAACGTCAACTCAATGCGCTCTTGAACTTGAACCGTGCAGAGAAAATGTCGGGTCGACTCAAAAACATTGAGCGGGTCGACTCAAAAACATTGAGCCGTCTTCGATACTGAACCAAGGATTCAATTGTTTTAGCAGCCCTTATATTTTCGCAGAGAAAGGAGCTAAGGGCATTGGCACATCTTCTCTCTTGAAAATGTCTTCGGGAAATTCTAATTCTAACTTAAATCACCCTTAAGGCGATTCCTCATTATTGCATTGCGCATCCTGTACTGTGTATAAAAACACGTAATCAGGCGAATAGGCGCGCGCATTCCGAGAACACAGTATTGTTTTTCAATCAATGAAGCAGGAAAAGAGGTGCATAGCATTAGCATATGAAAATGTTTATCCCTCGTCTTGAGGCTAATTATTGAAAGAGGTGCAGAGCTGCACACCTGTCTCAATGCTAATAAAACTGTAAAATTTATCGTTGGTTTAGTAAACGTTTCGTTCTTCTTTCTAAGTAAAACATTTGTAATGGAAAACAATGACAAGGTAATATAAGAAGAGCTACGGCATGCTCCCTTTTAAAACTTGATGAAAACATTTTTAAACATGTTTGTAAATAGTATTAACTTAAATTGGAAAAACTACATTGCTCAAAGAAAGGCTAAACGTAGCGTAGAAATGAAAGGGAAATTTTGAAGCTCAACTAAATTGGTGGCATTCAGTCATACGATTTACGTGGAGATCTATTTAAAGCTTTCGTTTTCGGTTCAAATGATTATATTAAGAGGACGCTGGAGAGATGTATCATTATTTTTCTGAGCGTTCATGGCCCAAGAATAAAAACATAAGATTTTAGACGCTAGCGCTCAGCGGCTTATCCGTCAGCTCAGCAGTCCATGCTACGAATATTGGTTAAAAAGAGTACTATTTATTATAGAGAGCGAACTGCTGCTTCACTTTTAAAAGCTTGTAAGTCATGCGGGTGCTTGTTTTTTGGTTTTTTGTTTTTTTTTGTCCCACTGTCGTGAAAAAACGACAAGACCTCTTTGTTCATTCTTTTAACATACTCAAAACTCGCTATCTTTCTCATTCCAGTCAAGTTATTATCGTCAATAAATTTATTTAAGAACCACCTGTACAAGATGTCCTTTTTTATTGTTTTATTCTTTAAGATTTTTAATTTAAAGCACCTATGATGGATTATTTTTTTCGACACGCTCCCTTCATAAGTTGTCATTTTGTATAACGAGTTAAATTTTCAAATGTTACTGGCAGATGGTTTTAATCAGATCACCTGACAAAGGCTATTGTTTAGTAAAGATAAGATATGATTGGGAAACAACCGTGAGGGGAGGGGTGGGTATGCTAAATCAATATGATCGTCACTCACCCAAAGAAAACAAGAATAAAAGACCAAGAAAATGGGATAGGGGGTCTCGGAGATTTTTATAATTTAGAATCATGTTTCTCCCTTATGGAATCGAATGTATACTTGTTTCATTACTGACAAAGCGCTAAATTTCAGTTATCCTTGGCGTGGTAAACGTTTCGTTTCTCTTTCTAAGTAAAGAATTTATGGTGAAAACCAATGAGTTGACGTAAGACGTGCTAATATTTTCTTTAAAACCTGTTTAAAAAATTTTAAACCCAATTGTATTGAGAAAGGAAAAAACTGTAACCTGGTAAGCCACATGGATACTCCGTTTTTTTTTCTTGCTCCACGCTCGTGATAACTCTAAAAACTTCTTCCTTTATCATTTACCGAGCTCAAAATTTGCCATCTTTCTTATCTCAGTCTAAACACTTTTGGTCGTGGATTTATTTAAGAACCAAATCTACAAGATGCGTTATTTTTGTTGTTTATTGCTCGCAAGGTCAGATAATTTCATCACAACTTGCTCTACAGTAAAGACAGATGATTCCAGTATTGTGTAACGTTTTAGCCTTCAGTTACAGACACCTTTAGCACTTCCAATTTTTATTCACCGTGGCATGGATCTGAAAACTAATCAAAGATTTTATAAGATTAGTCCTTTCTCTGTTGCAGTGGATGTCTTGGCCAAGTGAGCGTCGTTATGCATAAAAGCGTAAAAGTAGGTCATCAGTGTTTCAAAAGAAATGGCACACGCGATGTTTCAAGTGGGATACGATTACTTTCAAATCGTCATCTAAACGTGATAACGTGGCAAAGAGTATTTCTTCGTCATGAGCAATTTCTTGAATACTTATTGGAATTGATGATACCCAGGTTTACCCCTTTCATAGCACGCCTTCAACACTCGACATCACGCGCCTTATTTTTAGAAAAAAAGTTTACTGATGGTAATCCTCACTGATGGCGATCAAAACAAGACATTGATTAAAAAAAAAGGCCTTCAATTAGAGAGACACAGAAATACAAAATACTACTGGTCCTCATAATCAACAACATTTACTATAGGAAAACGACCCCATCGCACTGCAAGCTATAACACTCAATCGCTACGTTCCTTAAACACGACCAACCGCTTCCTTTTTTCTGCTACACTTGTTACAATATTTACCTGCTTTCTCGCCGTACATTCGAACTATTTCCCCTTTCCTGTAAAAGAAAAATAGTTGGCATATATTTCTTAACATTCAGAAGCGTTACGTGTGAGTTGATTTTGCTTGGCTGTCACTCTTCACCTTGACCAATTTACCTAACTTGAGAGTATTCAAAGATAATGCAGCTGGTGACATTGCAGTCAACAGAATTACTGATAGTCAAAACTATCTCTCGCAACTTTCATAGAAAAAAGTTCGACGAGTGCTGAAACTTGTTTCCGCTTTTTAAGCCGTTTAATTGTTAAAAACGGATCAAACCAATAGATGGAGATCAAATACATAGATCGTATTCCAAAAGTAATCGTCCCTAGCATATTTTTAGACTTCTAGGTCTCTGTTCTTGGTTTACAGGTAGTGATGGTACTGTCTTGGTAACAGACGACGTAAAGTCAACCTGAGCAGGCGGGATCCTTGGAACGTCCGCATGAGAAGCAGATTATTTTCAGATCGTCATGAAATTTCCGGAAACGGAATGATGTACCATCTGAGAATAAACTCCGAAGGAATTCAATTTCTAACCTCAATGATCTCCTTTTTAATTGTATCCCATACCTTTGCATGAACGCACTTTGCATTTCATAGTCTGCGAATATGGTCCTTTGCAGTTCTTTCCAAATCCCGATGGGGGTGGGTTGGTGCATTTGCGGTTGCGAGTCTTCTTTCCTTTACCACAGGTCTTGCTACACTTGGAGAACGCAGACCACTGAGTGAACCCTCCATCAACTAAAACGATGCAAAAACTTCCAAAAATTAGTCGATTAAACAATAAACATGTCCTCCACCTTTATTAATAACCGTTTCCACCATGACATCAGGATGCATACGCATACATGTCCATTTACCATACTAAAACCACGACAATATCGAGTAGCCCTGGCTAGCTTTAAGTTCCAAATAGTTTTAGGATCAACATGGCAGCAGCTGAGATTATAGAATAACCACATATAGATCTTCACCTCGATACACTGACTTTTTCCTTTCTATAACTTAAGCCTTATGCTATATATGTTATTATCTTCAAAATGATGGTTCAAAAATGATTGACCTACCATTTGGTACTGCACATGGCCCAGTGTTGCACTTTCGTTCCTCCTTGCTGTCTCCAATGCATTGTTTACCTCCATATGCCGGTCGAGGATTGGTGCACGTTCTTGCACGCATCTGTGTTCCACCTCCACAAGTTTTAGTACACTGGCTCCATTCTCCAAAGTTACTCCAGCCACCGTCAACTATGTAATCATAATAAAGAGAGCCAAGCTAAGGACGGATCCTTGCAGGTAAGCTTTAACTCCCAAGATCCATTAGTACTTCTCCTTACTGTCTGCCATATAATTCCTATGTTGCTAGATCGGAGTATTTGGTATTGGATCAACTGATTATTCCCTAATCGATATTTTTCTTTGTTCTCATCCCTTGTCTCCTTGATATTGTATTAATATTGTAGGGAGAAATTTTGTCTTAGTCACTCGTAGGAGTTAAAAGGGTTAAAGAGGTTGACGGAATAGATTCTAATGCTGGCCTCCCAAATTTCAAATGAGCACCGCTGCCAACCCAGGAAGAAGCCCCCTGTTGGAAGCGCGGTAACAAGTTTAGTGGATTCTTCTTTCCCTGGAACTTCATAAAAATCCGATGAAATCAATTACAGAGAGTCCGTTAGTTAGGTTCAGCTTGCTAGGGATATATAGCCAAAACGGAGATGCGATCATACGTAAATTGAAAATTTTGACCGCAAAAAAAACCACGTATCTTCAGTCTAGTTCATGTAGACCTACCACTGCACGAGGCTTGGTTACAGGGCCGTGTTTCTCTGTCAGGTCCTGAACATGATAATCCTCCGAATGAAGGTGGAGGATTTGTACAGGTGCGCTTGCGTTCTTGTTGTCCAACTCCGCAGGTTACGCTGCATGGTCCCCAGTTTCCAAAGCTACTCCATCCTTCATTTGCTAAAATCAAACACAGTCAACTCTTTTATGAGAAGTCGTTCTTGCCGAGCATTGATAAAGAATATTAAAAGAGGATCTGCTGGTTAGACTAGTAAGAAAACTACACAGAGCATCTAAGAAGAGCATCCCAGCTACGTTTGCTAAATAT